GTACCTAGCGTTTTATATTTCGCATTTCTTGTGAAAAGGCCTTACTTTGGTACCAACATATTTGATCTGCATTTGAGAAAGCTTAACCTTCGCTATGTTGCCATACGGGGGCATCAGTGTTTTACAAACACATCTTGTTCTATATATTTATTATTAGAAGATGATGTACCTGTAATTGATGATGATGACAATGATAATGAAGATGGCAATGAGGAGAGACAGATACAGAAATACCACAGTCTCCTCCAGTCGTTAGATGACGACAAAAACCAGAAGAAAAAGAAAGAGGTCGAAATGGAGGTCACATGGGAACCAGGTATCCATAGCAACCAAACAAATCAAACTGGGCTTTATTAGGTCACATGTGAGCACAGTATCCATAGCAACCAAGAAAAGATAATACTTGGTCATTACTTCTTGAATTTTAGGGTAGAGGGAAATGGAATAGTTTAGTCAGAATTATAATCATATTAGTCATTCGTCCTGTATGTTGCATTCTGATTTGTCTATCTTCAGGGTAAAGTTTTTCAACAAATGATTTGCCTAAATTGTTCTTTCGGCATGGATAACATGTTTTACTTTTAAATCTTTATCCAGCATTGTCAACATTGTAGTGCATGGTCGCTAAGTAGTGAAGACTAATTCCTCTGAATTAATTATCTTTGAAAGGTTTAAAAGAGACAACAGAGAAGATTGTGAAACATAAAGAAAAGACGAAAGACCAGACTCCATGGGACCAGTATCTAATGAAGAAAAAAGAGAGGAGACAAAGAAAGAAAGAAGAAAGAATGAACAGAAAAGTAAGAGAGAGAGAAGAAAGAATGAACAGAAAAGTAAGAGAGAGAAGAAAGAATGAACAGAAAAGTAAGAGAGAGAGAAGAATGAACAGAAAAGTAAGAGAGAGAGAGAAGAATGAACAGAAAAGTAAGAGAGAGAGAGAAGAAAGAATGAACAGAAAAGTTAGAGAGAGAGATAATGAACAAAGTAAGAGAGAGAGAGAGAGAGAAGAAAACATGAAGAAATGCAAGAGAGAGATGAAAATCATGATAAGCAATAGTGAGAGATGAAAAGGAGAAAATGCTTTATGATAAAATAATATTCCATAAAAAAATCTGTTTTGCCTGATTTGTAAATCTTTTACCCTGTATATGCAGTCTAAATCTTTCAAGTATAGTCAGTATGTATTCATCAGAATAGTCCCGCTACATATTAATAACTCTTTCTTCTGAAGTTGACCAGATGACGATTGATAAAGAACCAGAGGAGAGGGCAGCCTTCAGTGATGACGATCTACCAGTTAGGGTAGACGAGGATTTATTCTTCAAACAGAGTCCTTCGTGATCGGGAGGCCCGGGTTCGATTCTCGATCTCGGCGCCGCGTCATACCTAAGACGTAAACAAAGGTAGTGACTGTTCCTTCGTCAAGCGCTCGGCACTAGAAGTGAAAGTCACGGGTCATTCGGATATGACCTTTGAAACGTAGGTCCTGTGTCACGGTAGGCGTTGGCACGATAAAGAACCCTCACTGCTCAATGGCCCTGAGTGCAGAGTATAGATCTAAATTTGAAGCCCTTCACCGGCATCGGTGACGTCTCCATATGAGTGAAAAATTCTCAAGAGGGACGTTAAACAATATACAATCAATCAATCAATCAATCAAACAGAGTCTGGACAGTGATGAGGAAGACAGAAAACCAAAAGGTCGACTTCCTGGAATAATTACTGAATGGTATGATGTCTTAGATCTGAAAGAAAGTGGATATAATTTGGACCTACACATCATGATATAATCTACAGATAAAATTTGTCTCAGAGATGTATACATTAAACTCAAATTGAGAAATGACATGCAAATGTAATTTTTGTCCCCCATCCCCTTGGAAGAAAGAAAGGCACATTGCTTTTTATCTGTCTGTTTGTCCACCAACAGTTTCAACTTATTTTATTCACAAAGGTTGCACATACTGAAATGCTATCTGGTATATAGATTTATCATGAGAATATCTGGATCAAGTTCTGTTTTGGATATATTCCAAGGGGGATGTGGGGGGTAAGTGTTTCACAATTATCTCTCGTTAATATTTAGATTGGCATTAAGTATTAAAAGGTGTTTTTACAAATGACGATTTGATTAATGTGTGAGTGAAAATATGATGAAAATAACATTTTTTAAACATATCACCTTACTAGCTGAGTCAAAGAAGACAAAGAAGACAAAGAAGAAAAAAAGGAAAGAGAAAACATCAAAGTCAATGACCAAAGATGGAGAGGTAGGGTTCCAATGATACATATAATGTCGTAGCTACATAATGTACATATATGTTGTATAAAAGAATGTTGATAACCCTAGAGCAGTGTTGAATCAAGGGAAAACAAGCAAATTCAAAGAAATTTGGTCTCCTGCTTTCGGTGTCTTGTGGGTAAAATGTCATTTTTATGGCATATTGTGTCAAATTTGATCACCCTTTCATATGTCATTCAGAAGTTATCACCGAAGTTGATATTTAAAAAGAAATAAGGTAAATTGTGAAGGTCAAGGTCAAGAGATCAGAAATCAAAACATCCTGGGAGATATCTTGTCACAGGAAATTCACATGTCAAATATGAAAGCCCTTAAAAAAGCTTTTAAGGAAAAGTCTACATATTTTGAAAATTAGGTCAAACTTCAAGGACAAGGATACAAGTGTAGTTAGAAAGTTATGTCACAAGCAATACATTGATTTGAAAGCCCTATGTTTTCTCATGCAAAAGTCATTAGCAAGGTTTAAGATTTTGAAAAGTAGGTCGAACTTCAAGGTCAAGGTCACAATGTAAACAAATCAGAGTGTATTTAGAAAGGTGTTGTCACAGGTGATATAATAACGGGTGATTGATGTAATAGCCCTTTCTCCTCTCACTCAAAAGTTACAGCCAATTTTAAGTCTTTATTTTTAAAAAAAAAAACTAGGTCAAACTTCAAGGTCATGGAGTAAAAAATCATAGTGTATTTAGAAAGGAATTGTCACAGGTAATACAAAGGTTGAATAAGAAAGCCCTTTCTCTTCTCATTCAAAAGTCATGAGCAAGGGTTTAGTTTTAGAAAAGTAATTAAAACTTCAAGGTCAGGGTCAGGAGATAAAAAAAATCATACTATTACAAAGGTCTTGTTACAGGTAATATACATTATAAAAAGTTGCTTTTCAAAGAAATACAAGAAACAGACATAAGTTTGTAAATATTTGAATTTGAATTTTTCAGGGTGAGCTGGAACTTCTAATGATGGATGAAGAAACTGACAACAGGAAACATTTCAACCTAAAGTCAATCATGAAAGAATCAAACAGAAAGAAGAAATTATCTGGGGAGCAAAAGCCAGAGGGAGATTTTCAGGTATCAAAAATCCTTAACAACCCCCCCTCCCCCGAGTTGATTCAACACATTTCTCTCTTTCTAGTATAATGTAGTCATGTCATGGGATATTGTTTATTTCATACAATTGTTTCTGTTTATTTTCATGAAAATCAACAGATTTCAAAGAAATTTCATCAAGATAATTGATGGTTTTTTTTAGAAAAATAATAAGACAACTAATCAGTTTCAGATAGATTTTATAGGTAATTTTTCAATTTCAGATAAATGTGATGGACGATAGATTTACCGCCATTTTTGATTCCCATCTGTACAACATTGATCCATCAGCCTCAGAATTTAAAAAGACTAAATCAATGGAGGCCATTATTGAAGAGAAACTAAAGAGAAGGACATCAGGAAAAACCCAAAAAACCGTCAGCGTACAAAAACGGAAATTAGAGAGTGATAATATTATCACTGGACACTCGGGGAAATCTGAGAAGCCAGATTCAGACAGCATATCATCTCTTATTCACTCTGTTAAATCTAAAACACAGACATTTCAGAACAAGAAAAGGAAAAAATAGATAATTGAAGAATTAAATTATAAAAAAAACACCATTGACATGATCTAGTAATTAATAAAACTTTTAAACATATTTTGTTAATGAATAAATGTACATTTTTAAAGCTTAAAATATTGTTCAAAAAAAAGATTAACATTAAACTACATTACAGTGGAATCATTTGTTGAACGTACATTACATATTATTTTGTCAGTCAGTAAAGAAAAGGAAGTATCTTCTAGCTAATATGTGCTCAGAATCTTTTCATTATTTTGAAAATATTTTTCTTTTCTCTTCACCATGTTCACAAATTCAAATAATTTCTAATTTAATTGCCAATCTCAAATTCCAAAGAAAAAGATTCCTTAATCAGGTTTTTGTATTAATTCACTCTTGTTCATGTTATATGTGAACCACAAAATAGTTTTAATTGACAATTTTCAATTGAGATCACTTCAGATATTTTATTTTCTTCACTTGTCTGTTTCCATTCTGAGCAACAAACAGATTGTCATTTGTATCTGTACACAGTCCCTGGGGATAACTGCATAGTCCACAGTCTATGTAACGGAGGAACTGTCCATCCTGGTCTATGATGAGGACACAGTGATTGTCAATATCAGCTGTAAGGATGTGACTTTGACTGTCTGTAGTGATTCCTCGTGGATTGAATGGTTTGTTCTTTGCAGCAGGAGTATATCCAGTGTACCTGAATCTCAGTTTCCCGGCCTGATTGACCACCACTACTGCTTTAGCTCCATTGTCAGACACACAGATATCCAGGTTCCTGTTCTCAGTTATGTATCTGTCATAACCACCAGATGAATAGAGAGGTTGACCTTTATCATCAAACTGAATGGTTTGTTTTTCTGTGGAGCCAGAGTAACGGACAACTTTTGATTGTAATCATCACTGTCCATGACAACCAGGAGGTCGTCAGAGGAGGTACTACAGACATAGCGCGGTTTCCAGTTCTGTAGTCTGATCACCTCCTCTATCTTCTCAATTTTCACAATGTGCACAGTTCTATCACCATAGTAATCAGTATAAACTAGATTTCCACTTTTTGCTATGTTAGATGGTCTTTTCCCTGACTTGGTTGTGATTGACTTGAGTCGTGATCCCTGATTGATGCTGTAGAGTTTCATGGTGCTGTCATCTCCACTTGTCCAGTTTTCTTCATAACTTAGACAGGCTACACTATAAAGGTTCCCATACCATGGAGTGTCTATTGTTGTGACAGTCTTTGGTTCATCAAGCAGCTTTTTGACTGGAGGAGAGGATCCAGTTCTCTTCTCTAGTAAAAGAGACATTTCAGCTCCTAATGTTACCTGTACTGTTTTTATACTATAACCATGGTTATCAGATGATATCGATGTTGGAATTATTTTTCCAAAAACTTCTGAGATCCCTTCCTGTACAGAAAATGGTGAAAATTGTGCCATTGCTATGTTTAATATAGTTGAAAGAATTTTGTATTTCTTACAGTCCAGTTGGAAGTTTAACACTTTGAAAATATCTGTAGAATCTATTATATTGTGCAGAAAATTGATATCATCATTTATTTTAGAGGTGCATGTTTGTACATTTGATAAATGTGCCTTTAGAGTTTCATTGTCTTTGATTTTCATCTCATCAATTTCAGCTTTAAGTTTCTTGACAAGTTTGTCAATTTCTCTGTGCCAGTCCTCTCCATGTTTTGTTATGGCTGTTGAGAGATTATCATATTTCATATTCACTTGACTCAGTGTATTTTGTACATCTTCTGCTATATTTAGGTAGGTTGGGTGGATGGATTCCTCCAACTCATTAATTTCTGTTTGGTTTGCTGCCTTCTTTTTGTCAATAATGTCTTTTAGCAAGTGGACATCATGATCTTTGTGGTTTTTGGAGGCAATACAAGCGGAGCAAACCAGAATGTCGCATTCCTTGCAATGCAGCTCACAGCTATTATCTGTGTGAATTTTACATCTATGATAAAGGAGGGTAGATTTCCTAGAACTGAAATGTGACAACTTCATGTTTTATTGGTTTGATCAGATATCATATGTTTTCCTACACAAGCTGTACACAGGTTGACAAGACATGCATCGTAGTGCATCTGTACCACAGTGGTCTCACACAGGTCACATCGCATCACGTCCTGGACACTGGTACGGAGGTCCATAATGTTACCCTGAAGTAAAGTTAATACACCAGTTTACAATGAATTAAATTTAGATTTTTCCGAACCAAAAAAAAAAAAACGTGTTCTTTTTAAATATACTTCTGTTTATTCCAGTTGCATTCCAGATAAGTCTGTCCAAAACACTTATATCAATGAGTGCAATTTTTTATAAAATGTTTGATTTAAGTTTTATTTTACATACTTAATTCCTGTAGATTACTGAAATTTATCGACATCTTATTTTTGCGAGATAAACATAAACTCCTTGTTGGTGATATAAGATTTTCTCAAATTAAAGGGTTTTTTCTCTTATAAAAATCAGATGGAATACTAATTTATACAAGAAGGAAATCTTCGTGAGCCAATTGCCTCGAATATAAAGTACAATGTAATTAAACAAAAATGAAGTCCTCGAAAAAAAATGTAATTTACTGTATATTTTGTTTTAAATGTGTCAATGAAAATATTCAAGATATTTTATTTAAAAAGTTAAAAAACGCAAAGGGTAAAAGAGAGAGAGAGAGAGAGAGAGAGAGAGAGAGAGAGAGAGAGAGAGAGAGAGAGAGTCAACATTTTATTTTTAAGATGCAGTTTGTGTCCTTGGAAGTCGTTGTTGCTAGCAATGTTAATATGTTTCATGGCATATTAAAAGATACTCAAAAGTAGGATCATATTCCCCCTTAGCTGCAGAACTGTAGCTCACCGAAAAAAATATTTTGACCAAGAGGCCTGTCAAGAACTTTTATTTCGGAGAGCTACAATACTGCAGCTTATGCCCCCTACATGCCCCCAAGAAATAGGGCTTTTAATTTTGGAGGAACTTTATATTTTTCCCTGTCAGAGTTTTTCGGGAGTTTGTCCCTCTCAAATTGTCGCCGACAGTCAGGAGATCGACAGTATGTAACGTCACAGGGGTCTCAAAAGACTCAATAAAACAACAATAATAATGGTTTAAAATTGTGTGCATGTATAAAAAACAATGAAAAAATTCTACTTTATGTCAGATTTCTTAAATAATCAAACCATTATCTTGTTTTCAGTAATGGTGGCCGAACGTACTGTGATCAGGTGATTTACAGGTATATCTTTGTTATCTACGTATGAAGTTGTGATTATTTATCCTGATCTTGAAGCCAATAGTATAGATATCTGTAGACTTTGTGCTCTACTTTAACACCTCCTAACACCTCGATGTGTACAGTTCGGCATTTCGCTCTGTTATCTATATAGGACGATGTTAGATAGCAGTGTAATGTATTGGATTTGAGAAGAAATGAAAAGCTTTAAATCCATACAGTATACATACACATCCCCTTTATATTACAGCTTTCGCATATAATTGATAAGGTTGAATGAAATAAGTAGGTTCGTCCAAATTTTTAATCATAATAATCCAACATCTATAAAACAACATTGGACATGCTTACATGCCTATCTATCTTGCTTATTCCCTTATAAATTTCATTTGAATACGTGAAACACTTCTTTGTAAGATAAACCAAGCTTCAGGTTTTGTGTACCGCTGCATGGCAAGAATATGTTACCGACGTCGTAATAATGTTATTTCTAGGTTCAACCACAATCATATCGTTAAAAATGTGTTGTTTTTTTGTGGTTTTTATTCAAATTTTTAATAATTTGCCATTATTTGTTTTTAGTTGTAGTACGAAAGTTTTATGAATTTTGTGGTGCTCTGCTGTATCAAATCAACTGATATACAGTGTATATTAACTCTGTATGCAGGCGATGAAGGTATAGTATAGTGAAGTCATCACGTTAATCGCAAAAATAACCCTGTACACAGTATTTCTCAAGTGAAGTATCAAACAAAGCTCTGTATCGGACTCTGTGGTATCTTTCATCTCAAGCTCACCGGGATATATCGTATAGACGTAAGAATTGAAATTACCATTGTTAATTGACATACGTCGCCGATATATCTAAATGCCGAGTTGAAGAGCACAGCAAGTGTTTTCTTCTTTTTATGTATACACGAATACAAAAATAGGTTTGCTAATAACTGAGCGCAATTGGAAACTATGGGATTTCGAAAACATGTAGTTTATATATCTAAGTTGATTCAAAACACAAAAACATGCTCTACGTATAAACAATTTTTAAAACGAGGTAAATTATTGACAAACAAGCTGGTGAAACAAGAATATCAACAGTCTCGTTTAATAAGGTCATCCTTTTGTAAGTTCTATGAAACAATGACTCCAGCATTAACAATTTATCACTGAGTCAAATGCTGACTAACGTTTTTATACTATTTGTTTGTGAATTATTTATGTACACTGAATTGACTACAGACTTTTCCGCTATTTCCTGATCACGACAAGGAACACACGGAGGGTCTGACCGGTCAGCAGGGGATGCTCATTCCTCCACTGCACTTGATCCCACTTTTGCATTGTTTCATGGAGTTCTGAGCTTGAATACTATTTGTTATCTCCATATGTTTAATACAATTTTATTTACCAATCAAAAATACATATGTAAAATGCATAATATTTTTAAAAATCAAGAATACGTGTACAAAATCAGGATATTTTATTTACTAATTAATCAAAAGTACATGCACAAGATATGTCATTACCAATCAAGGGTCCCGAAAGACATTTCAACTCACATAAATACACAATTTAAACATATTTTGCAATATAAATTGATTTTAAATTAGTTAATAAGTAAAATGATTCACAAAGACTGGGATCATCATACTATGGGCGTTCAATATTTTTTTGTCCCTAATGCCTAGGTCAGAAGTAAGCCGATGGTCGGGCGACAAAATTTTTCTGGTCTTTTCGGCTAAAAACAGCAATATTTATCATAGATCTTTATTCAGATAGGTGATGTGAGTAATGTTTGCATGACAAAGTGGCAGAATTTTGTTTGTGGCTCTATGTTGAAAATGTGTGAAATATTTTGTATAGAATTACATAAAAAACGAGAAATGGCGCATATCTAAGAAGCAAAGAATAATTATCATTTCTTTATGTCTCATGGATTAATATGGTATTTCCATTCACAAAATATGCATCAATCCATGCATCAACATTTTGTTTGTGTTGTGAATCCTTTATAGTTTAAATATTCACAAGCCGGCCAATCGTCGCCCGATTATCCAGCTTTGAGCTTCATTTTGATTTAAACTATCAGCCGAATTTTTTTTTTTACATCTTTATTGTCAAACCTTATGCCTTGGTTACATTTAAAGCTGAACACGATTCGTTAAAGGAATCTGTTCGTCATTTTTGTTCCCGAGTTTCGCTACTCTGCAGACCCCTATAAATAGGGCAGAACTTAAACACTGTTCAGTGTAGTCAATTGACACCGGTGAAGACGGACGTATGCTATACGGAACTCGATGCGTTTTTCGATGAAAATGGCGTGGTTGCCGGCCGGGCACCACAAATGATCGGACGGTGTCTGAGGCAATTTTGCAAATCGTTGGGGTCATCGTTCTCTAAAAATGCCTCACATCGCTCCTCATCGGCAACCCATCATTAACAAATCTTTCAAGGAACGGCCGATGTATGGCCGAGCATCGTTCAATATCCGTTGAATCTGAGGTCATCGGGGGGTTGAGTGGTGGGCAACAGACAACGGCCGATCATCGGTCGATGTTCGATCAAACATTGGACCGTAGTCGACCGATGTACGAACGATGTTCACCAATGTATTAGCGATGTAATATACATCGGCCGATTATCCTTGAACATCGCGTTATGATTAGCAATGCATGGCTGGGCCCTAGTAAGTCTGGCCGGCAACCACGCCATTTTTATTAAAAATCGCATTGGTTGCCCTTCGTATAGCCCATCACTGGATAATGTGACTTAATACTTAAAGGACTACTAGTCCGATGTGGACCGATGTTTAGGTATCGCTCACACCACGGATTACCACCGATTACAACCGGTCTACTGCCACCGGCCGGGAAATTTGACCTAGGCATTATTGTCCAACGATGGACGCATGGGACGACCGACTTAAGGTAGTCCGATCCTCAGGTTTATAAAATAAGCAGTTAAGTAATCAAAAATACTCATAAAAGTATCTCTGAATCCACAAAGTTATGTAAATTTGTGAACGGTATTTCTTTAAAGTTAAAGATAACAGTTACTAGGGAAAATTGCCAAATCTCCAATATTTTTGCAGAAAAAGAGAATTGGAATATCTGCAATGCATTTTCTGATTGCAATTTGATCAACAATTATATTTTAGGTTTAAAAACGATAGGTATCCAGCCATTCGGAGAAATTGTCATGATTTTTATACTTATTTGGTATATTTTGTCTGCTATTTCAGTCAAATATTCTATAGTACATAGTGTAAAAGGCCATTGCTGTCATTGCAAGACACCACAAATCACTTCATATTTCATAACATGCTAATAAGCATTGGTATCTAAGCCTGGATTCGAGAAAATCTTCATTCCCTGAAACTGTATTTTTTCCCTCTTTTATAGGGTACAAATATCAATTTATATCAGACCTTTTCTAAGATTTCCAAGGATCTTGCATCCTATAAAGATGAATAAAAGGAAAATTGTTGCATGAAAAATTTCATTTTCAAGCTTTATTTTGATGCATTTCAAATTTAATATTAATTTTTGGAGTTATCCTTCCTGGCTGAGGATCGGATATCCTTAAAAACATAGGTCCCGTGTAATGGTAGGCGCTGGCACGATAAAGAACCCTCACTGCTCAATGGCCCCGAGTTCCGAGTAATGCCTAGGTCACATTTCCCGGCCGGTAGCCGTAGACCGGTGGTAATCGGTAGTAATCCGTGGTGTTAACGATGCCACAACATCGGTCCACATCGGCCCAGTAGTCCTTAAAGTATCAGTCACATTATCCAGCGATGTGCATACGATGGGCAACCAATGCATTTTATGAGAAAAATGGCGTGGTTGCCGGCCGGACTTACAAAGGTTCGGCGATGCATTGCTAAGCATAAAACGATGTTCCAGGATAATCGGCCGATGTATATTACATCCCTCATACATTTGGTGAACATCGTTCATACATCGGTCGACTACGGGCCAATGTTTGGTCGAACATCGACCGATGATCGGTCGTTATCTGTTGAACACCACTCAAACCCCCCGATGACCTCAGATTCAACAGATATTGGACGATGCTCGGCCATACATTGGCCGATCCTTGAAAGATGTATTAATGATGGGTTGCCGATGAGGAGCGATGTGAGGCATCGTTGGAGACATCGCTGAATTTTAACTACGAATTATTTCCTACCGATGACCCCACCGATTCGCAAAAAAGACTCAGTCACCGTCCGATCACTAGTGGTGCCCGGCCGGCAACCACGCCATTTTCATCAAAAAACACATCGGTTTCTCATCGTTTACCCCATCGTTGGATAATGTGACTTATACTATACGGTGACGTCTCCATATGAGTGAAAAATTCTCGAGAGGTACGTTAAGTAATATGCAATCAATCAAACGACGGACGACCGACTTAAGAAACTGAGCGCCGAAACTGAGCGCCGATGGTCGGACGGTAATCAAAGGTTGGTCGACAGATAAATTTAATAGAAGAAATCGGCCACCGACGCAGAAAAAATATAATTTGGAAAAATGTACACAAAATTGGTCAACCGACAAAAAAGAGTGATTGTATTTACAAAGGTCTTGTTACAGGTAATATACATAAAAAGTTGTTTCAAAGAAAATGGCCCCCCAAATATACAAGAAACAGACATAAGTTTGTAAACATTTGTATTTGAATTTTTCAGGGTGAGCTGGAACTTCTGATGATGGATAAAGAAACTGACAACAGGAAACATTTCAATCTGAAGTCAATCATGAAAGACTCAAATAAGAAGAAGAAATTACCAGGGGATCAAAATGCAGAGCGAGATTTTCAGGTATCCCCACCCTTTTGGTGATATAGTTTTCTTGATTTGTATGTAGTCCTAATAACATTCTCCATTTTATACTTAATAACAAATTACAAATAAATTTCATAGATATAATTGTATGACTTTTAGATAAATTTTGAAAACAGTAAGTTTCACATTAATTTCATAGGTAATTTATTAATTTTCACATTAATGTGAAGGATGACAGATTTACCACCATTTTTGACTCCCATCTATACAACATTGATCAATCGGCACCAGAATTTAAAAAGACTAAAGCAATGGAGGCCATAGTTGAAGAGAAATTGAAGAGAAGGACATCGGGAAAATCCCAGAAAACCGTCAGTGGACAAAAACGGAAATCGGAGAGCGACAATATTAACACTGGACACTCGGGGAAATCTGGGAAGCCAGATACAGAGAGCACATCATCTCTTATTGACTGTGTTAAATCTAAAACACTGACATTTCAGAACAAGAAAAGGACGAAATAGATTATTAAAGAGTTTAATGTATAAAAAACGCCAGTGACATGATCTAATAGTTAATAAAAATTTTTAAATTTATTTAGTTAACGTATGTACCTTTTTAAAGCTTAAAATATTGTGCAGAAAAAAGATTAACATTAAACTACATTACAGTGGAATCATTTGTTGAACGTACATTACAAATAATTTTGTCAGTCAGTAAAGAAAAGGAAGTGCCTTATAGCTATTATGTCTTCAGAATCTTTTCGATATTTTGAAAAATATTTTTATTTTTTTTTGACAAATTTTACGTTTCTAATTTAATTGCCAATCTCAAATTCTGAAGACAACGATTCCTAAATCAAGTTTCTGTTTTTGAATTCACCTTGTTTATATTATATGTGATCTATAAAATAATTTTATTTGACAAATTAAACGTGCAAGAATACACAGAAATATTTATTTGATTACTCAAATGTATCATTAATATTTGTAGTCAGCTTCATTTGAGATCACTTTTGATATTTAATTTTCCTGACTTGTTTATTTTTATGCTGAGCAACAAACAGATTGTCATTTGTATCTGTACACAGTCCCCAGGGTTCACTCAGTCCACAGGCTATGTAACGGAGGAATTGTGCATCCCGGTCTATGATGTGGACACAGTCGTTGTAATAATCAGCTGTAAGTATGTGACTCTGACTGTCTGTGGTGATTCCTCGTGGAATGAATGGTTCATTCTTTGGAGCAGGAGTATGTCAAGTGTACCTAAATCTCAGTTTCCCAGCCTGATTGACCACCACTATTGCTCTAACTTTATAGTCAGACACACAGATATCCAGGTTCCTGTTCTCTGTTATGTAGTATGAATTATAAGGACCAGGTGAATAGAGAGGGTTACCTTGATCATCAAACTGAATGATTTGTTTCTCTGTGGAGCCAGAGTAACGGACGCCTTTTTTTGTTTGTATTCATCACTTTCCATGATAACCAGGAGGTCACCAGAGGAGTTACTACAGACAAAGCTAGGTATCCAGTTCTGTAGTCTGATCAATTTCTCTATCTTCTTCTCATTCTTCACAATGTTCACAGTTTTATCATTGAGATCGGTATAAACTAGATCTCCGCTTTTTGTAACTGCTATGTCACACGGGCCGTTCCCTGACTTGGTTGTGATTGACTTGAGTAGTGATCCCTGATTGATGCTGTAGAGTTTCATGGTTATATCATTTCCTCTTGTCCAGATTTCATCATCACTCAGACAGGCCACATTGTAAAGGTATTCATACCCAGTGTCTATAGTGGTGACAGTCTCTGGTTCATCAAGCAGCTTTTTGACTGGAGCAGAGGATCCAGCTTCTGTTCTCTTATCTAGTAAAGGAGATGTTTCAGCTCCTAATGTTACCTGTACTGTTTTTATGCTGTAACCATGGTCATCGAATGATATCGATGTTGGAATTATTTTACCAAAAACTTCTGAGATCCCTTCCTGTACAGAAAATGGTGAAAATTGTGCCATTGTTATGTTTAATTTAGTTGGAAAAATTCTGTATTTCTTACAGTCCAGTTGGAAGTTTAACACTTTGAAAGTATCTGTAGAATCTATTATACTGTGCAGAGAATTGATATCATCATTTATTTTAGAGGTGCATGTTTGTACATTTGATAAATGTGCCTTTAGATATTCATTGTCTTTGATTTTTATCTCATCAATTTCAGCTTTAAGTTTCTTGACAAGTTTGTCAATTTCTTTGTGCCAGTCCTCTCCATGTTTTGTTATGGCTGTTGAAAGATCTCTATATTCCTTTTCTAACTGACTCATTCTGTTTTGTACATCAGTGGCAATGTCCTAGGTTGGATAGATGGATTCCTCTAATTCATGAATTTCTGTCTGGATTTCTGCTTTCTTCTTGCCAAAGATGTCCTTTAGTAAGTGGACGTCATGATCTTTGTGTGTTTTGGAGGCAATACAAGTGGAGCAAACCGGAATGTCGCATTCCTTGCAATGCAACTCACAACTGTTCTCTGCGTGAATTGTACATCTAGGATAGAGGAGCGTAGATTTTTTGTCCTGAAATTTGACGACTTTGTGGTCCTTGGATTCCCCTGTTGAGATGTGTTCTCCCACACAGGCCTTACACAGGTTGACAAGACACGTATCACAGTGCATCTGTACCACAGCGGTCTCACACAGGTCACATCGCATCACGTCCTGGGCACTGGTACGGGGGTCCATGGCTAAGAAATATATTGTCCTGAAGTAAAAGAAAAATACACAAGTTTACATTTGATTATAGGTTGGATATTTTAGAATAAAATTCTTACAGGTTCTTTTGCAATATAAACTACAAAATGTTGCATAGCTGAATAAGAAATCTGTCCAAAGACACTTATCTAACATCAGTAAGAATACATTTTTATAAAAGAGTTTATTTAGGCTATATTTTAGATTTTTACTTGAAATACTTTAATTGTAAAAAGGATGTCAAAGAAAATATTCAAAATACTTTACTTAAAAAATTGAAGAAATAATGAGGTTACGGTAATCTTAGCGAGATGGGTAGAGACTAAAATTTTGGTCTGACATCTAGTAGTACTACTAGTTCTACGTAGTAGACGTCAGACCAAAATTTTAGTCTCTGTGACCCATCTCGCTGAGATTAGAGATTACAGAAGAGAGAGAGAGAGATGTCTCCAAACACCTCTGTATACAGGCAACTTACATGTAGCCACATATGATCTACACATGATTCTCATATGATTGTATATACATATGATTCTTATATGAACCGCATATGATCCTCATATGAAAGGCAATGCATATGTTGCTAAATTGCCTATGCATTGTCAAGTTTGTGATATAAGGACAGACGAGACGTTCCTTAATAATAGATAAATTTTTCTAAGAGTTTGTCATTGAAGTGTTGCTACTTAAACATGTTTACTAACAAAAAATTGAGGTATCTTACCAGGCATTTCTGCAAGATACCAGGGGTAGTTTTTCTTATATAATCCTTTGGGGAAGAAAAAAAAAATTCCAATTTTAAATGTTTAAGTGTTTGGATTTTTTAAAAACGTCTAGAAACTGGTTTATAAATCAGAATGTTATGAAAATTTTGAATATTTTTCATAAATTACGAAGATATACAAAACAGATTTTGAGGAACGTCTCATCTGACCTTAAAAACAAACCTCCTTGGGTAACTCGACATTTAAACTTGGATTGTGGAACAGGTGTTTGGGACAATATATGCAATTCTACAGAATGCAGGGTCCCAGCATTTACCTCTTTCCGAGTTTGCTCGATTGGTATAATTAATTTTGCATGTTAAAGCAGGTTGTTCACCACTTCTTGCCGCGGTAGGGTGTAGCGTCGAACTTTCGCAAGTTCCAATGTTTTATTTATAAAAGAATCAGCTAATCAACTGTTATCAAATGTTGATTTGAAAATAACGTACAAGTAAGGTTCAATATATTTAGAGACTATTTATGTTTCCTTTTCAGACATCCCCCCTCCTCAAATCCTCGCCGACAGATCAGTAGATCGACTATAAGTAACACCATAAGGAACGGAGAGACTAGATCAAAAGACACTGTTTGACTTTGCAAATCGAAAGTTGAGTAACAGATTCAGCCATATAAAAAATAAAGAGCATTCAGACAGTTTTAGAGACAAATAAAAGTTATTGGTTGTGAAATGTAAGAAAAAAACAAATAAAATTCTACATTATATCCGATTTCTAAAAATGATTTAACCCTTTACCTTGTTTCAGTACTGACGACCGTGTGAATTTTGATCAGGTGACCCATAAGTTTTTCCTGGTGTTATTTATGGCACGCCAAATTCACAAAAATGAGCTAATCAAAGTTTCACAATCGATAAACTAGGTTTATCGGTTGTAAACTATAGTTAATCTATATTTTACATCTGTAAACCATAGTTAACGCGATAATCTTTGTTTCACAACCGTAAACTATACTTAACACCGAAAACTATCATTTGCGATTGCAAAACATAGATTATCTGATAAATACAGTTACACGATTTGTAAACTATGGTTTACAACTCTTAACTATAGTTAACGATATCGTAAATTATTATACCTCTATTGTAATTACTTTATATAAAAGTAATACCATAAAACTGTCTATTTCCCCGAGAAGAGAATTTTTCACTCATCCGAGGACTACTCCCTGGAAAATCAGAGCTACTCCCTGGGACTACTCCCTCATGAATATTTATTAGTAATTTTGACCAATCAAAGTGTTCAGTGGGCGGAGCGTTCAAGAAATCTCGAGTCTGTGACGTCATGCTATTAGCAATGTAACTATGACGTCAAAACATTTCAACATGCAATGTCAAAATCATACTTGAATTCTAGCAAAATGAAGATAACGTTAACGTTATATCTTTGAAATGTCAGTGAAAATACTTTAAAAAATAATTTAATTAATTTAGGATTAAGTGAGCTTTTCTGATCACATTTTGTCCGTCGTCCGTCCGTCTGTCTGTCTGTCTGTCTGTCCGTAAGTCCGTCTGTCCGTCTGTCCGTCTGTAAACTTTTCACATTTTCGACTTCTTCTAAAGAACCACTGTGCCAATTTTGATCAATCTTATCACAAAGCATCCTTGGGTGAAGGGGAATTTAAATTGTTAAAATGAAGGGACATATCCCCTCGCAAGGGGAGATAATCAAGAAAAGACAAAAATAGGGTGGGGTCATTAAAAAATCTTCTTCTCAAGAACGACTGGGCCAGAAAAGCTGAAACTTATGTGAAAGCATCCTAGGGTAGTGTAGATATTAAATTGTTCAAATCATGACCCCCGGGGGAAGGGCGGGGCCACAATGGGGAATCAAAGTTTTACATAGAAATATATAGGAAAAATTTTTGAAAATCTTCTTCTCAAGAACTACTGGGCCAGAAAAGCTGAAACTTATGTGAAAGCATCCTAGGGTAGTGTAGATATTAAATTGTTCAAATCATGACCCCCGTGGGAAGGGCGGGGCCACAATTTGGGGGGATCAAAGTTTTACATAGAAATATATAGGAAAAATCTTGGAAAATCTTCTTCTCAAGAACTACTGGGTCAGAAAAGCTGAAACTTATGTGAAAGCATCCTAGGGTAGTGTAGATATTAAATTGTTCAAATCATGATCCCCGTGGGAAGGGCGGGGCCACAATGGGGAATCAAAGTTTTACATAGAAATATATAGGAAAAATCTTTGAAAATCTTCTTCTCAAGAACCACTGGGCCAGAAAAGTTGAAACTTATGTGGAAGCATTCTTGGGTAGTGTAGATATTAAATTGTTCAAATCATGACCCCCAGGGGAAGGGCGGGGCCACAATTTGGGGGGGATCAAAGTTTTACATAAAAATATATAGGAAAAATCTTTGAAAATCTTCTTCTCAAGAACCACTGGGCCAGAAAAGCTGAAACTTATTTGCACATGGAATGATCCTGGGGTAGTTGATTTCAAAATGTCTTAATTATGATCAGTGGGGTAGAGTGGGGATACATAATGTATTACAAGGGGAAAATCTTGTTCAAGAACAGAATGGTCCAAGCTTCTCAGGTGAGCGATGTCGCCCATGGGCCTCTTGTTTTTTAAATGTCCGAATATCTGGTAAAGAAAAATTAAATCGCCTATGATTGTTTCGGTATAATAAAACGGTTATGGGATGTAAACTCGAGAAATAGCAAATTTATGGTTACCCTCGGCAGGAAACTATTTCCCTCGGCGGCTTCGCCGCCTCTGGAAATAGTTTCCTACGTCGGGGAACCATAAATTTGCTATTTCCCTCGTACCCATTCCATAACTGTATACTATAGTTTACGGACGTGAATCTATGTTTATCAACAAAATCTATTGTTAACGTTTTGAATTACAGACAGATAAATTTATATTAGCATTCGTAAACTATAGTTAACAACCGTTAAATATAGTTTTACAGATGAAAACTATAGTTAACAAATTGTAAACTATAGTTCACAGTCGATAAACCTACTTAATCAATTGTGCAACTATATGTTTAGCACGCCAAATTCACAAAAATGAGGTAATCATAGTTTCACAGTCAATAAACTAGGTTTATCGGTTGAAAACTATAGTTTACGGACTGTAAACTATATTTATCAACGTTTATCTATATTTTACATCTGTAAATCATAGTTAACGCGATATTCTATGTTTTTCAACCCGTAAAATATACTTAACACAGAAATTAAACTATCATTTGCGATCGCAAAACATAGATTATCTGATAAATACAGTTTCACGATTTGTAAACTAAGGTTTACAACTCTAAACTATATCTAACGATCCTAAACTATAGTTTACAGACGTGAATCTATGTTTATCAACAAAATCTATTGTTAACGTTTTATTTCAGACAGATAAACTTAGATTAGCATTCGTAAACTATTGTTAACAACCGTTAAATATAGTTTTACAGATAACTATACTTAACAAATCGTTAACTATAGTTTACGATTTGTAAACTATAGTTTACAGTCGATAAACCTACTTTATCAATTGTGAAACTAGGTTTAGCTCATTTTTGTGAATTTGGCGTGCTATAGTTATTCCGGCTCAACTAACTCAAAAAAGTGCATTCACTGACATAATTTAATTCACGTGTAGTTGATTTATTTTGACAGATCAATTATTCATAGACTTGGTAGACATAAGATGTATATCCCCCCCCCAAAAAAAAAAACAACGGAAACTCAAAAAAAAAAATGTCCGAAATGGTGAGCATAATTCCGGAGGTGAAATTAAGTATATAATTTATAATCAGTCCTTTTATTTAACAAGTTCGTGATCGAAGAAAAAAACCCCGGAAATACCGGAGATGAAATAGAAAATAATTTAGATCGCCGTTGGTCAAATGTTTTACCCCCCCCCCCCCATGCAGTGTTAAGGGCCTAAATGCATTGCTCCTCAGACATGTATCTGTAAATTTCCATTCATAAGGTGGATTAAAATGTGTTTGCCTGTCTGTTTAACTGTCTGTGTGTCTGTCCGTAACAAAGTTTTGATCACAGTTTTCACAGCAACTACTCATCACAGATGCTTGAAATTTTAGCACTTTCTTCATTGAGGCATGTCATATGGTGGGATCCATTTTCATCGAAATCCAATGTCAGCTGCCTGTTTCTCTGTTTGCACACACTTTGCTGAGGAATGCCATATGTTGGAATTTATATTTATATGAATCTGATGTCAACTTCCTATTTGTCCGTGCATCTGACCTTAAATGAACTTATTAGCATAATATTGCACATCAGAGCGGGGTATTACTAATGAGCTTTGGCGCATATACTTATTGTTTGTAGAGCTCTGTTTTTTAAAAATATAAAATAAGTATGTAGCATACTTGCATAAAATTTTCACGAATACCTTGTTATATAAATATGCATATTTGTTTAAAAAAAATCAAGACACACGAGTATGTGCAAAACCTTTTTTTTTTACGGATATTGGAAACGTTTACTTGATAATGAAATCACTCAACTTTAAATTAACCTGCATCTTTTTCAACATAATATTGTTGTTCCTTTATAGGTCACCTGAGTCACTCAGGTGACCTATTGCTATCCGTTTTCAAAATTGTGAATTTCATGGCCTCTGGTTTAAAACATGAACCAAATTCAATTGTGCGAAAGTTGTTACATGATACTCAGGTGACCTATAAGGGCCGTGGGCTGTGTAAGGCAAAAACAATAAGGTAAAAATTGTAAATTTGTATATAGTGAATTTACGAATTTTAATATAAATCGAACAAGAAGTAAGATTAAATGTAAATTAAAACAAAGCTTTATTCTATGGATTCAGTTGTACGAATATGAATTAACTTAAATCTCTCTTCTTCTTTTTTTTAATTTTTATAATTTCGTCCTTCCTTCTTCTATTTCTGCATACGCGTTTATCAAACATTTACATAAACAATCATGTGTCGATTTTCATAAATTCTGGATAAAGGGTCCCATCTCACACAAGACTGGGGGACATCCACATTACCAACCCAGTGGTTCAAATTAATGGCGAGCTTTTACAATGTCAAAAGAAAGACCTTCGTAATTTGTCTTGCATCCCACAATTCGTCTTATTAATAAATCGAGCGACTTGGACATATTTAAATGAGAAAAAAATATTATTATTTGCGAAATTTATTAGAATGAAATTAAAAGGACGATGGGGGATAAGGCGGACGAAGTGCCTATAGTGCGAAAGATAAGAAATGAAAAATGAAATCTCAATTATATCCAAATTTTATTTGATATTTCACTTAATACTGAAGTATACTAAATGTAAAATGTCTACAATTTACAAAAATCCCACAAAGACTGAAAATATTTGCCTAAATATATGAAAAAACATACGCACACTAAAAAGAACAAAAAGATCTTTTTCTTGTACTTTAACAATTTTTTTCCAATATGAATGGGTTTCGCTCCATTTTTGTGAATCCTAAAAGCTTGCAATGAAATATACATTTTTGGTTTATAAAAACATGTAGCAAAGATCCATTGTACCTTAAAAATACACTTTAATGGCAAAACATTCGCATCTTTCCGAGAAATACTTCAATTTCATTAAGTCAAGGGTCATATCACAAACATGAGCCATGTAGTGGTTAGCGTGTTAGTCTCAAATACCGGTAGGTATCATGATACTTCGGACTTTTATTACAAGAATTCAAATTCCAAGAATATCATGCTATATTTTTATAAAAGAAAAAAAAAGAGTTTTCTTTTCTCTCAGAAAATGTTTTTTTTTCCTCATAATTTCATAGATTTCAATAATGAGAAGTTAATTTAAATACTCAATTCACATATTGAATAAGATTCTGCCCGCCTTGTCCCCCCATCTTCTTTATTATCTTCTCATTAATTGTCATACAATCAAAACTTAACGCGTTATCCGAGCAGAAAACGCCAAAAACGATATATGCGTTAGAGTGTATGATTGTGGGGTTTACATGGTTAAGGTACATGTATATGCGTTAAAATGCGTGACTGCAGGGAAGGGTTAAAGAGTTCTTATACTTGAAGGAACATTGTGCTATATTTAAATGTTTATATATGTTTTGTGCACTTCTTCTAAAACAAGCCTGGACAAGAAAAACATTTAGAATATTTGGTTAGTATTTTAATACAATTTTTTTTAAATCATCCAAGAATTTGCATCAAGTGATATCTTTTGAATGCATGCCGATTCATTGTTTACGAAATTTTGATGACACTATACTATGAAATTGACAATATCTTGAAAAGTTATTAGTCGGCAAGGTACGTTGCATATGTATTTAAGTGACAAATTTGAATTGTAAAAGAACAAAAAATATTTATTTGTTTACTCAAAAGTATCACTAATATTTATAGTCATTCTTAAATGAGGTCACTTTTGATACTTTATTTTCTTTACTTTACAGTTTCGATATTGTGCGACGAACAGATTGTCGTTTATATCTGTACACAATCCTATGGGTTCACACAGTCCACAATCTATGAAACGAAGGAAATGTCTATCCCGGTCTATGATATGGACACAGTGATTTTCAATATCAGCTGTAAGGATATGACTCTGACTGTCTGTGGTGATTCCGCGCGGACAAAATGTTTTGTTCTTTGGAGCAGGGGTATATCCGGTGTACCTGAATCTAAGTTTCCCGCCCTTATTGACCACTACTACTGCTTTAGCCCAACTGTCAGACACACAGATATCCAGGTTTTTCTTCTCAGTTATGAATCTGGTGGCATTTGAAAAGAGAGGTTTTCCTTTATCATCAAACTGAATGGTTTGTTTCTGTGTGGAGGCAGAGTAACGAACAACTTTTGTTGGTTTATTGTCATCACTGTACATGATAACCAGGAGGTCACCGGAGGAGGTACTACAGACACCGCCAGGTTTCCAGTTCTGTAGTCTGATCACCTCCTCTATCTTCTCATTCTTCACAATGTTCACACTTCCATCAATGTAATCAGTATAAACTAGATCTCCACTTTTTGTCACTGCTATGTCATATGCCCACCTCCCTGACTTGACTGTGATTGACTTGAGTAGTGAGTTCCATAGTGTTGCCATAGGTGTTGAGTAGAGTTCGATGGTGGAGCCATTTCCTCTTGTCCATATTTTTTCATCACTCAGACAGGCCACACTGTGAAGGTTAAAATACCAAGTTTCTATGGTGGAGACAGTCTCTGGTTCATCAAGCAGCTGTTTGACTTTGACTGGAGGAGAGGTCCCAGCTTCTGTTTTCCTCTCTTGTAAAGGAGGCAATGTCTGTGCTGTTCTTTTGCTGTAACCATGGTTATCGAATGATACCGTTGTTTGAATAATTTTTCCAAACATCTCATAGATCTGTTTCTGTACACTTTCAAAATATCTGTAGAATCTTTTATATCGTGCAGGGAATTAATATCATCATTTGCCTTAGCGATGCATGTATCTATGTTTGATAAATGTGTTATTAGAGATTTTCTATCTTTGTTTTTGATCTCATCAACTTCTGAAAGAAGTTTCTTGACAAGTTTGTCAATTTCTCTGTGCCAGTCCTCTCCATGTTTTGTTATGGCTGTTGAGAGATCTCCATATTTAACATCTAGTTGACTAAGTGTCTTTTTTACATCAGAGGCAATGCCCTGGTAGGTTAGACAGATGGATTTCCCAAGTTCATTAATTTCTTTCTGGATTGCTGCCTTCTTTTTGGTAATAACTTCGTTAAGCAACCGGACGTCATGATCTTTGTGTTTTCCAGAGGCAATACAAGCGGAGCAAACCGGAATGTCACATTTCTTGCAATGTAACTCACAACTGTTTCCTTTGTGATATGTGCATCTAGGGAAGAGAACAGTGGACTTTGGAAGTTTAAATGGGACAATTTCATGCTTTTTGGGTTCACCAGAGATCGTGTGTTCTCCCACACAGGCCTTACACAGGTTGACAAGACATGCATCACAGTGCGTCTGTACCACAGCGGTCTCACACAGGTCACATCACATTACGTCCTGGGCACTAGTACGGGGGTCCATGGTTGGAAACTTTTACTCTATAGTAAATTAAATACACCGGTTTACATAAAAAAGATTTGATTTTTCAGAATAAAAGAAAACGTGTACTTCTGCGTCATAATATTTTATTTTATATATCTAATGAGATATCTGGCCCTAGACACCTGCACATCAGTAAGTGTGAATTTGAATAAAAGGTTTGATTTCAATTATTATTTAGATTTTAGTGCTTTGTAAATCAGATACAATGTATAGAAAACATTTATTTAAAGAGATGTGTGAATAACTCATAGGGTATGATGATGCTTTTAGACTCTATCGTCACATGACGTCGTACTCAAATTGCATTATCAAACCGATACCTGAATATTGTTCACTTAAAGAATTTTCTTTAATTACTATATATTTACATCAACTGAATATTTTCTCCTTTATTTCTTTAGAAAACTCATTGAGTTAATCACTGCATGAACTACATTAAGCATGTCGCCTGTACAGATTTCTTGATCAGTGGCTGTTCCATCAATGAAACGTATAAAGACGTTCGCATCATTAGTACAATAATTAATCTTTTTAACCCTACGTTAAATGATTTTTTATTGAGATATAAATATAAACAATAAAATGTCTTTCTTTGTTTGTTATTACTGGAAATAACGTTCGCAGCTATTGCAGAAAAAAATTTCATAACCCGCTTACGTGTGTTATGTATTTTTTCTGCAACAGCTGCTTCCGTTAATTCCAGTTATAACAAACAAAGAAAGACATTTTATTGTTTAAATATTTGTAACATATCCATTAAATCGGGACGAGTTTATTTTTTGTTAAACTTGTTATTCCCGTGAGAAAGTAGATGAAACAAGCCATGTACTGTGTGTCCAAAAGACATTTGTAACTTTGTAATTGACTGTGAAAATTGAAAACGAAATAAATGAAGATAATTCTATATTATATACTATTTTACCGTAAATTAATGATTTACCATGTTTCCAATATGTCGGCCGTGATCAGGTGACACCCAGTTATATTTAGGTTATTATCTACATAGGGTGTTTATTTATCTACATCTAGAGGTTAGGAACGTTTAGATATCTGAAACCTTTGTGCTATACAACTTGTTAACCCATATCCGGTTTAGTCATACTACTTTCTAGTACGAAATTGTCATTGCAAATCAAAATGCCAACATAATAAATTAAAGATTTTAATAGTTACAAAAATCAATATCAATTATAAAACTCAATGACAAATTGTAGTCATTATATGTATATCGACCCAATATAACTTACAAAATGATTAAACAAAACTGTGAAATTCTTGTTTCATCAACATGTTTATCAATATTTACCTTGTTTTAGAAATTGATGCTGATGTAGGGAAGGATCCATTTTTCAAACTGTGTCTGGACACTGATGACGATCTACCAACTGGTGTGGTGGACGACAGTGATGATGATCTACCAGCTGGTCTGGGGGAGGACAGTGATGACGATCTACCAGTTACTATAGGGAAAAACAGTGATGATGATCTACCAGCTGGTGTATGGAAGGACATTGATGACGATCTACCAACTGGTGTGAAGGAAGACAGCGATGACAAACTACCAGCTGGTGTGGGGGAGGACAGTGATGTGATAACTATCTACTAGCTGGTGTAGGGGAGGATAGTAATGATGATCTACCAGCTGGTGTAGGGGAGGACAGTAATGATGATCTACCAGTTGGTGTGGGGGAGGACAGTGATGACGATCTAATAGCTGGTGTAGGGGGGGGGGCGGTGATGACAATCTACCAGCTGGTGTGGGGAGGACAGTGATGGCGATCTATTAGCTGGTGTAGGGGGGGGGGGACGGTGATGACAATCTACCAGCTGGTGTTGGGGAGGACAGTTATGATGATCTACCAGCAGGTGTAGGGGAAAACACTGATGACCATCTACCAGTTGGTATGGGAGAGGACAGAGATGACGATCTACCAGCTGGTGTGGGGGGAGGACAGTTATGATGATCTTCCAGCTGGTGTTGGGGAGGACAATGATGACTATCTACCAGCTGCTGTTACGGAGGACAGTGATGACCATCTACCAGCTTGCTTGGGGGAGGACAGTGATGACCATCTACCCACTGATATGGGGAGAACAGTGATGACGATCTACCAGCTTGTGTGCAGGAAGACAGCGATGACAAACTACCAGCTGGTGTGGTGGAGGACAGTGATGTGATGACTATCTACTAGCTGGTGTAGGGGAGGACAGTGTTGATGATCTACCAGTTTGTGTGGTGGAGGACAGTGATGATGATCTACCAACTGGTGTGGGGGGACCCGGGAGGACGGTGATGACAATCTACATGCTGGTGTTGGGGAGGACAGTTATGACCATCTACCAGCTGGTGTGGGGGGAGAACAGTTATAATGATTTTCCAGATGGTGTGGGAGAGGACAGTGATGATGATCTACCATCTGGTATGGGGGAGAACAGTGATGATGATCTACCAGCTGGTATGGGGGAGAAACAATGATGATGATCTACAAGCTGGTGTGGGGAGGACAATGATGACGATCTACCAGCTGGTGTAGGGGTGGACACTGATGATGATCTACCAGCTGGTGTGGGGGAGGACAGTGATGACGATCAACCAGCTATTGTTGGGGTGGACAGAAATGACGATCTATCAGCTGGTATGAGGGAGGACAGTGATAACGATCTACCAGCTATTGTGGGGGAGGACAGTTATGACGATCTACCAGCTGGTGTGAGGGAGGACAGTGATAACGATCTACCAGCTATTGTGGGGGAGGACAGTAATGACGATCTATCAGCTGGTTTGAAAGAGGACAATGATGACGATCTACCAGCTGGTGTAGGGGAGGACAGTAATGATGATCTACCAGCTGGTGTGGGAGAGGACAGTGATGATGATCTACCAGCTGGTGTGGGAGAGGACAATGATGACGATCTACCAGCTGTTGTGGGGGAGGACAGTGATGATGATCTACCAGCTGCTGTGGCGGAGGACATTGATAATGATCTAAGTGTGGGGGAGGACAGTGATAACGATCTTCCCGCTGGTGTGGGGGAGGACAGTGATGATGATCTACCAGCTGGTGTGGAGGAGGACAGTGATGATGATCTAGGTGTAGGGGAGGACAGTGATGATGATCTAGGTGTAGGGAAGGACAGAGATGATGATCTAGGTGTGACGAAGGACAGTGATGATGATCTACCAGCTGATGTGGGAGAGGACAGAGATGAAGATTTACTAGCTGGTGTGAGGGAGGGCAATGATGATGATCTACCAGTTGATGTGGGGGAGGGCAATGATTATGATATACCAGCTGATGTGGGGGAGGGCAATGATGATGATGTACCAGCTGTTGTGAGGGAGGACAGTGATGATGATCTACCAGCTGCTGTGGCGGAGGACATTGATGATGATCTAAGTGTGGGGGAGGACAGTGATAACGATCTTCCCGCTGGTGTGGGGGAGGACAGTGATGATGATCTACCAGCTGGTGTGGAGGAGGACAGTGATGATGTAGGTGTAGGGGAGGACAGTGATGATGATCTAGGTGTAGGGGAGGACAGTGATGATGATCTAGGTGTGGGGGAGGACATTGATGATGATCTAGGTTTGGGGGAGGACATAAATGATGATCTACGTGTGAGGGACGACAGTGATGAAAATCTACCAGCTGGTGTGGGGGAGGACAATAATGATGATCTAGCAGATAGTGTGGAGGAGGACAGTGATGATGATCTACCAGCTGCTGTGGCGGATGACAGTGATGATGATCTAGGTGTAGGGAGGACAGTGATGATGATCTAGGTGTGGGGGAAGACATGAATGATGATCTACGTGTGGGGGAGGACAGTGATGATAATCTACCAGCTGGTGTGGGGGAGGACAATAATGATGATCTACCAGCTGGTGTGGGGGAGGACGGTGATAACGATATAACAGATCGTGTGTGGGTGTGGGGGAGGACATTGATGATGATCTAGGTTTGGGGGAGGACATTAATGATGATCTACGTGTGAGGGACGACAGTGATAAAAATCTACCAGCTGGTGTGGGGGAGGACAATAATGATGATCTAGCAGATAGTGTGGAGGAGGACAGTGTTGATGATCTACCAGCTGGTGTGGGGGAGGACAGTGATGACGATCTACCAGCTATTGTTGGGGAGGACAGTAATGATGATCTACCAGCTGGTGTGGGGGAGGACAATGATGATGATCTAAAAGCTGGTGTGGGGGAGGACAGTGATGACGATCTCTCAGTTGGTGTGGGGGAGGACAGTGATGATGATCTGCCAGCTGATGTGTGGGAGGACAGTGATGATGATCTACCAGCTGGTGTGGGGGAGGATAGTGATGATGATCTACTAGCTGTTGTGGGCGGGGGACAGTGATGACGATCTACGAGTTGGTGTGGTGGAGGACAGTGATGACGGTCTATGAGTTGGCTTGTGGGAGGATAGTGGTGACGTTCTACCAGTTGGTGTTGTGGAGGACAGTGATGACGATCTACCAGCTGGTTTGGGGGAGGACAGTGATGATGATCTACCAGTTGGTTTGGATGAGGACAGTGATGACGATCTACCAGCTGTTGTCGGGGAAGGAAAGTGATGACGATCTACCAGCTGGTGTAGGGGAGGACAGTGATGATGATCTACCAGCTGGTGTGGGGGAGGATAGTAATGACGATTTACCAGCTTGTGTAGGGGAGGACAGTGATGAATATCCACCAGCTGGTGTTGGGGAGGATAGTGATGATGATCTACCAGCTGGTGTTGGGGGTAGGACGGTGATGATCTACCAGCTGAGGTTGGGGAGGACAGTGATTACGATCTACCAGCTGGTGTGTGGGGAGGACAGTAATGACGATCTACCAGTTGGTGTGTGGAGGAGGATAGTGATGATGATCTACTAGCTGGTGTGGGACAGGACATCGAAGATGATCTACCAGCTGGTGTGTGGGGGAGGACAGTTATGATGAACTTCCAGCTGGTTTGTGGGGGAGGACAGTGATGACGATCTACCAGCTGGTGTGGGGGGACGACAGTGATGACGATCTACCTGCTAATGTGGGGCAGGACAGTGATGACGATCTACCAGTTGGTGTGTGGAGAAGTTCATAGATGATGATCTACCATCTGGTGTGGGGGAGACAGTGATGATGTTCTTCCAGCTGTAGTGTGGGAGAGGACAGTGATGACGATCTGCCAGCTGGTGTGGGGGGGAGGACAGTGATGACGATCTACAAGCTGGTGTGTGTAAGGACAGTGATGATGATCTACCAGCTGATGTGGGGGAGGATAGTAATGACAATCTCCCGGCTGGTGTTGGGGAGTACAGTAATAACGATCTACCAACTGGTGTGGGGGGAGGACAATGATGACGATCTACAAGCTGGTGTGGGGGAGGATAGTGATGAGGATCTACCAGCTGGTGTGTGGGGAGGACAGTAATGACGATCTACCAGTTGGTGTGTGGAGGAGGACAGTGATGATGATCTACTAGCTGGTGTGGGGCAGGACAGTGATGACGATCTACCAGTTGGTGTGTGGAGGAGTACAGGGATGATGATCTACCATCTGGTGTGGGGGAGACAGTGATGACGATCTACAATCTGGTGTGTGTGAGGACAGTGATGATGATCTTCCAGATGATGTGTGGGAGGATAGTAATGATGATCTCCCGGCTGGTGTGGGGGAGTACAGTAATGACGATCTACCAACTGGGGTGGGGGAAGGACAATGATGACGATCTACTAGCTGGTGTGGGGGAGGACAGTGATGTTGATCTACCAGCTGGTGTAGGAGAAGACAGTGATGACGATCTACCAGTTGGCGTGTGGGTGGATAGTGATGACGGTCTATCAGTTGGCGTGTGGGAGGATAGTAATGACGATCTACCAGTTGGTGTTGTGGAGGACAGTGATGACGATCTACCAGCTGGTGTGGAGAAAGACAGTATTGATGATATACCAGTTGCTTTGGGGAAGGACAGTGAAGATGATCTACCACGTGGTGTGGTGGAGTACAGTGATGACGATCTACCAGCTGGTTTGGGGGAGGACAGTGATGAAGATCTACCAGTTGGTTTAAATGAGGACAGTGATGACGATCTACCAGCTGATGTGGGGGAAGGACAGTGATGACGATCTACCAGCTGGTGTAGGGGAGGACAGTGATGGCGATCTACCAGCTGGTGTGGGGGAGGATAGTGATGACGATTTACCAGTTTGTGTAGGGGAGGACAGTGATGACGATCTACCAGTTGGTGTGTGGAGGAGTACAGTGATGATGATCTACCACCTGGTGTGGGGGAGGATAGTAATGACGATCTCCCGGCTGGTGTGGGGGAGTACAGTAATGACGATCTACCAACTGGTGTGGGGGAAGGACAATGATGACGATCTACTAGCTGGTGTGGGGGATGACAGTGATGACGATCTACTAGCTGGTGTGTAGGGAGGACAGTGATGACGATCTACTAGCTGGTGTGGAGGGAGGACAGTGATGACGATCTACCAGCTGGTGTGGGGGAGGTCAGTGATGACGATCTACCAGCTTGTGTAGGGGAGGACAGTGATGACGATCTACCAGCTTGTTTGGGGGAGGATAGTGATGATGATCTACCAGCTGAGGTTGGGGAGGACAGTTATTACGATCTACCAGCTGGTGTGTTGGGAGGACAGTAATGACGATCTACCAGATGGTGTGGAGGGAGGACAGTGATGAAGATCTTCCAGCAGGTGTGGGGGAGGACATTGATGACGATCTACTAGCTGGTGTAGGGGAGGACAGTGATGACGATCTACCAGCTGGTGTGGGGTAGGGCTGAAACGATACACTCCCTCCACGATACGATACGTATTGCAATACTTATGTCACAATTCAATTTTTTTGATACAATACATTTCTTTAAAAAAGCAGATCATTAGGTTAAAAAAAACATGTATTCAGATTCTAAAAGATACATATAAGGTGGCGATACAAAAAGAGAACACTTCTTGTGCTTCTGTCAATTAAAATAGCATATTGTCTGTGTCAATTCAAGCAGCAACAGCCCGCTCTAAAAATTTCTTCTTTGTCTCAATTTTCTCTCTCATGAGTGTCAAATTGTCAAAATGAGGACAAAGCTGGTCATTTCAAGTGATTATCTAACCTGATTATAAAAAAATGTATTGAATTGAAAATTGAAGTAGTGAATGATATATTGAATTGAGGGATAATATTGAACGATATCGATATTTCGATGAATTGTTTCAGCCCTAGTGTGGGGGAGGATAGTGATGATGATCTACCAGCTTGTGTAGGGGAGGACAGCGATGACGATCTACCAGCTGTTGTTGGGGGGAGGACGGTGATGATGATCAACCAGCTGGTGTGGGGGAGGACAGTGATGACGATCTACCTGCTGGTGTGGAGGGAGGACAGTGATGACGATCTACCAGCTGATGTGGGGGAGTACAATAATGACGATCTACCAGCTGGTGTGTGTGAGGACAGTGATGATGATCTACCAGCTGGTGTGGGGGAGTACAGTGATGATGATCTACCAGCTGGTGTGGGGGAGGACAGTGATGACGATCTACCAGCGGGTGTGGGGGAGGTTAGTGACGATGATAAAAAAATACATGAAACAGACAAAAGTTTGTAAACATTTGTATTTGAATTTTTCAGGGTGAACTAGAACTTCTAATGATGGATGAAGAAACTGACATCAGGAAACATTTCAATCTGAAGTCAATCATGAAAGACTCCAGCAAAAAGAAGAAATTATCAGGGGATCAAAAGCCAGATGGAGATTTTTAGGTATATCCATGTATATATTTTTTTATACATGTATCTATTCAGTTTTGTAAATATGTTTTGTATAAAGTACCAGGTACTGGATATTCTTTATTTCATACGTTTTTTTTAAATAACATTTATAATAATAAATATATTTGAGATAATTTTTATGGGTATAATTACAGTGAAATCACTAATTTCAATTTCATGGGGTTAAATTTTTATGGTTTAAGGAAAAATGTTTTTTTTTTTAAGTTGATTTAAATTTATGGTTAAAGAAGTGTAGTGTTGCTTTAATTGAAAAATTAATCAATTATGGAGGCAATAAATTTGTGTCTTTCCTCAAGTTATGAAAATAAAATAAAGCTGAAACAAAAAAATATTTTAAAGTAACTTATTTAGAATAATTTTATATAAATCAATAATCAATTTTTAATAATGTTTAGACGTAATTTATTATTTCAGATAAATGAGAAGGACGACAAATTTACCGCCATTCTTAATTCCCTTTTGTACAACATTGATCCATCGGCCCCAGAATTTAAAAAGACTAAATCAATGGAGGCAATTATCGAAGAAAAACTGAAGAGAAGGGCTTCAGGAAAAACCCAGAAAATTATCAGCGGACAAAAACGGAAATTAGATAGTGGCAATATTAAGACTGGACACTCAGAGAAACATTGGAAGTCAGATTCAGGGAGCACACTTTGTTAAATCTAAAACTCAGACTTTTCAGAACAAGAAAAGGAAAAAAATAAGAGAAATTATTGGAGACTTGTGTTTACAAATATTTGACAGAATCTAACTATTAATAAAATTTAAAAAAAAAATGTCTTAATCTTTATAAATCTAAAAAAAAAAGTGCAGAAAAACGATTAACGTTACAGTGCATTGTGTGATGTATTCCTGGACTATAGGTTAGTTAGTCAGTAAACCAAGTGAAATTTTTCTAGCTAATATGTGTTCTGCACTTTTTAAATATTTCAAAAGCTATTTTGTATTTCCCAAGTGAAAAATTCTTGTACAATTGGTTTTCTCAAGTGGCCAAATCATGAAGTTCCTGTTTTTATATTTATTCTTCTTTGCACTATCGTTGAGTCAATGAAAAGATTTTAATTGTCAAATTTAAAGCGCAAGCATGCACAAAATATAAATTTGTTTACTTAAATGAAGCATCAATTTCGTGGATTGTTTCGAATGAGTTCACTTTTGATATTTAATTTTTTTCATTAGTCTGTATTCTGATTGAGCAACAAACAGGTTGTCATTTGTATCTGTAGGATTAACTCAGTCTACAGTCTATGTAACGTAGGATCAAACTGTCCATCCTGGTCCATGAAGTGAACACATTCATTGTTATTTTCAGCTGTATGGTCTATGAAGTGAACACATTCATTGTTATTATCAGCTGTAAGGATGTGATTTGACTATCTTTGGTGATTCCTCGTGGATCGAATGGTTCATTATTTGGAACAGGAGTACGTCCAGTGTACCTGAATCTCAGTTTCCCGGCCTGATTGACCACCACAATTGCTCCGACTCCATTTTCAGACACGTAGATATCAAGGTTTTTGTTTTCAGTTATATATCAGACAGAGAAACCTACAGAA